TGCACTATGCCTCTTTATGAGGAAAGATTAGGAACCCTTCTGCGAGGATTTCATTTTGCCTCTTAAATTTATATTGCAACTCCCTATCATGATCACCCCAAAGCTGGGTATCTTGGGGTGCTCTCCCTGTGACCTGCCCATCCAGCTTACCAGTGCTGTGGCCAACAGGTCCTGCCTCTCTGGTTTGGGCTAGAGACGCTTATGCTTCAGGTTTCTGGTTTTCTCCCAAGTGTACTGTGTGCTTTGGTATGCAGCGCGCCCTGCCAAGGGTAAACACTGTGTTTAGCAGATTAAATCAAATCGCATAGAAACACCCTTCTGCTACAGACACCCATTGACTGGAAATTATAACATGTACAGCAAGGGAGGTGGTGGGAGAGGAAGCGCTTTGTCGTCCCTGTCTGATTTTAGATGAGAACTTTCTCAGCAGGTAAAGATGATGGTGATCAGGTGCAAGGGAAGAGGAAAAAGGAAAAGCCGATGCAATGAGTCACACATTTATCTCCCTGAGGGGAAGGGCAGTGCCAACAACTCTGTCTTTTCTGACAACTAGAGGGCACCAGCTGCTGGCACCGACTCATGACATCTGCCCGCAATATGTGCGCAGCTGTATTGTGCAGAGGTACTGTGGAAAACGTGAGCAGGTCATAGATTTTGCAAAACTAGCTTGCAAGTTCCCGAGGCTGAATTTGAACTGTTGTAAATCCCCCCATCCCAATCGGTGTCTTCCGTCATCAAAACTCAAATTGCTTCACGGTGCAACCGTCTATGGATTCACGGTGTGAACTGCATTGCCAGATTAATTGGGCTTCTTTTCCCAATGAAGAGAGAGCTATTTTTAACCTTCTCTCTCTATCTTTCAAATCACAGGTAGTGATTAATTATTCAATTGTGAAAGGACTGAAATACAATCAAGCAACACCTACCTTTCATCAATGGCGCGATGCACGGCAGGTCTACGGCTTGAATTTTGCAAGCAAAGAAGAGGCTACCACATTCTCCAATGCAATGCTGTTTGCACTGAATATCATGAATTCCCAGGATGGAGGTAATCTAGAAGCCACTGTGCTCTATGTTAATCCCTACCATTTTATGATGTTTGTATCACCAGGTGCAGTTGTGCTGGATCATACATCTGTCTAAAACACATTTTGATAAAGAAAAGTTGGTCTCTGGTAGACAAGCTTCTGATCAAAGTCTGTAGTGATAGGAAGCATCCATGTTTTCAGGCTTTATTTTTCTTCCTTCCAATTTTTCATGGTGTCTTAGATCATGATAGAAAATCAATATTTACATATTAGAGAATGCCCAGGCAGGCAGGTAGCCCCAGTGATTTATGTGGATGTACCTATGTGTTTTATTGCATGTAAAATGATAGTTTATAGCCTTAAATAAACAGAAGAAAGCAACATTTCATAGAAATTCGGGAGGTAGAATTCAGATCTCGTTTTTCCATCACATTAGATCTCAGCTATGACCATAGAAAGCTTCGAGCTTTCTAAAAGAAAAGTGTGTGGCTTCTTGGTTGTAAGATGCAAAGGCTTAAATTCTGGACATTAGTAGTACTGGTAAGTGTTGTTTGTAAATACTATGGTGAGTGCAGTTGAAGTTCGTGGTAAAAGCTACTGTTTTGTGAAAGTGTGTTGCAATAGCTCGACAGAGGCCAAAATAAAGTTTCTGATCTACGATGTCTGGATTAAGCACTGCCCTCAGTTACATGTCTCTGGGCTCTCTGCAGCTGTTGGGCAGGGGGAACAGAAAGCAAGACTCACATTCTGTGGTGTGTTTTCTTTTCCCGATAAAAATAACCCACAGCCTGATTTTCCTCTGAAAACAGTGACTCAAGATTTACATCACTTGCTGCCCTCCAAGTTTCAGCACAGTGCTCACTGATATTTTACAGCAGCCCTCTAAAGGATAGCTCTAGGTGTCCATACGATAACGGCTTGGAAACGCACAAATATCCTTTAAATGGCTATCAGATATATCTCCTTCAAAACACAAACGTGTCTTATTAAAATGCTTGTAGTATAATTTTTTTTCTTTTGAAATTTCCATTCATGCTACTAAGTTAATAAAAGTAAAAGTCATCAAAGAGCAAGAGCTGCCCTGCGTTCTCTGCTGCGTGCAGAAATACTGAGGCCTGAATCCTGGCTTTTTCAGCCTGAACCTTTTCAGCCGCAGTTGTGCTACAGCAGGAGACTTCCGGAGGGAATCAGGCCGATGGTCCCCATTCCTGCCCATACCTGAAGGGTGCAGAGCTCTGTGGCAGCTGAAGATCTCTAATAGTTGCTCGGCCCTTTTAGGCAACCTAGTGAGACCTCAAAATTCAGTTGCAGGGAGTATAACTATAGGTCTGATGTATAACCATAGGTCTGAGCTTAATTCCTGTGATGAGTTGGGCTTTCTTCCAAAAATCCCCCAGCGTTTTGCCTTACAGACACAAGATCAGGCCCATGCTGAAGAGCTTCCTTTTTAAGTTTATAACTGTCACGTAAACAGGCATGATCTGAGTCATTCAAATGCCAAAATTTCTTTCATTTTTAGGAAAAAAAGTCATCTTCTGGCATACTGTCAATTTTCAGCAACCCATTTTCTCTTATACACGAAGAGTTAAAAGTTTGAAAGATTGCCAGCTTTGCCATCTCTGTGAAGGGGTTATCAGAAGTTGAAATCTAGTTTTAAGAGTATTTCAACTTTTTTTTTTTTTTCTCTTGATTTCCTGAAGCAAACTCCCAAATTAATCATTTTTGCAAAATTCAGTTTCGGGAATTTTTTGCTTTTATATTTATGCTCAAAATTATGGATCTGATAGTAGATTGCAAGAAGGCATTTGGCAAGAGTAGTCATGTTTAACACTACTTATGTTTTAATAGAATAATATGATAATTGAAATAGATTTTTTTTCTTAATTGTTCTGGATGGGGACAATTTAGAAGTGACTGACAGTAATTCTGATGTATAACCATAGGTCTGAGCTTAATTCCTGTGATGAGTTGGGCTTTCTTCCAAAAATCCCCCAGCGTTTTGCCTTACAGACACAAGATCAGGCCCATGCTGAAGAGCTTCCTTTTTAAGTTTATAACTGTCACGTAAACAGGCATGATCTGAGTCATTCAAATGCCAAAATTTCTTTCATTTTTAGGAAAAAAAGTCATCTTCTGGCATACTGTCAATTTTCAGCAACCCATTTTCTCTTATACACGAAGAGTTAAAAGTTTGAAAGATTGCCAGCTTTGCCATCTCTGTGAAGGGGTTATCAGAAGTTGAAATCTAGTTTTAAGAGTATTTCAACTTTCTTTTTTTTTTTTTCTCTTGGATTTTCTGAAGCAAATTCCCAAATTAATCATTCTTGGAAAATTCAGTTTTGGGAATTTTTTGCTTTTATATTTATGCTCAAAATTATGGATCTGATAGTAGATTGCAAGAAGGCATTTGGCAAGAGTAGGCATGTTTAACACTACTTATCTTTTAGTAGAATAATATGATAATTAAATAGTTTTTTTTCTTAATTGTTCTGGATGAGGACAATTTAGAAGTGACTGACAGTAATTATATTTATTAGTAATAAAAAATGATATTAAAAGCAAAATTACATCTCACAGTTTTCTCAATTCTAAATGTCAAGAATTTCATCTCAAAGCTTCTTTTTGCAGGAAATTTAACTGAAGTTTAATAAGCTGATTTTAACATGTTAAATATTTTGACAATTAATTTTGACCTGCTAAATTCACAGCTTCTGTTTATGTGGGCTGCTTGCCCTCGCCCCCCTTTTCACCGCATAGTGCACGCGGCAGGTAAGCAAAGTCAGCAGATGCGGAGCAAAAACGAGGGAGGCAGGAGATGCAAACATCAGAATGGATGGACAGCGCTCGTCCCCGAACCGTTGTCGTGCCAGTGCTTCCGTGCGATGGTAGCGCATGACAGATATGTGTTCTCCCTCAGGGCTTTTTTGTCATCATAAGATTCCCAGGCATTGCTGTGCTCTCACCATGAAAGTTGACAGCAAAAGTGCATAGTGAGCATAAGGCAGAAAACATTTGCTGAAATCTGTCCCTGAACTTGCTCTTCTGGGCTCAGACTGTACAAATGCTTTTGTGAGCATGACTTAATGCAGATAGAAATTCACCCAAACACACATTTCTGTGTATTTTTTTTCAAGCACAGCCTCTGCTTGCACACTCCGTTCATTCTGATATCTGCATGTTGCGCTAGGATTTGATTTTGCTTGTGCAGAAGCCATCAGAAAAAAAAAAGCATTAATGTCTATTCCTTGATGTACTGAAGTTGCTCTGCTGCTTTTGCAGGAGGAGGCTGGCTTTAAGGACTGAATTTCTACACACAGTTGTTCTCATGGTAAATAAATTCTCAGCTCAAAATTAGGAGTTAAATAAATGGTTCCCTCTGGAACATTCATCCATAGTACAACATATCATAGATATCTAACTCTACAATTCAGGTTATGCTATTTCTTGGGATGTGCAATTTCTGCTGCTTACTTGCTTCATATATCCCTGTTATGAACTATCGTGTTTAGCTACTGTTAGTCTCCCAGTAGTTGCATAAAGTTTCTGGCTTTCCTGACTGCTTCTCCCTTCATGGTACCTCCTACTTGCACAGACTAAAATTAATCATGTTAGACTGGAACAGAAAATCTGCGAATGCCTCATGTCTTCAGCAGACGCAGAGTCAGTGGCTCTGCCTAGACTGACATTTGGGGAAATAACTCACACTGCTCGCAAAGCCGTGCTGTGGGTTTTTGAATGGTGCGTTAAACTGGGGAGTTAGAAAAGTGGCAGCAATCCATGTAATTTCTAGGCGTTGCTGGCTTTCTGAATCACTGAGTCACACCAGCTTAATATACAGTTATGAAGCAGCATTGAGAAATATTCCTGTACTGCCCTGCTTCTTTACTGCGTATCTTTGGGATTGCTGCATTCCGGGCAATGCCAGCCCATGCTTCAGGGCAGCCCTGCACGTCACGAGGTCCCTCTGCACAGGGGAGAGAGGCATTTGCAGAGCACATTTTGGGCCCCCCTGCTGTACTTGGTCATGTCTTGGGATCAGTCTTGGGTAGAGATCCTGTCCAGCGGTCTGGTATCCCAGAATTTGGGAAAGGTGAAATAAAAGCCATAGTCTGGACTTGCAGTGGTTGAATAGACTAGACTGAATTGACCCAGTCTAGTGTTTTGGAAGGATGCTGATGATCAGGTTGGGAACAAACTAAAATCAGTTAAGATATGAATAAAAATAAAATAACAATCCAGATTAGTGCAATGCTTCCTTTAGAGTGTGACTCTTGTCTGACCGAATCACAGTTGTTTACCTGCCAGCTTGTTTAAATGCCTCATTACTTTGATTTCCTTATATGTCTCTCTAATCTCTTCTCCTATGTAATAGAAAATGAAGAGCGTGTTCTGCCCTAACCTGCAAAATGAGAGAAATAATAACACTGGCTTGCTCGTGACCAAAATCTTGCTTAGACTTGTTTAAGGTGTCCTTTAGCAAGACCATGAGTATGACAAATGATTTCCTGTTACGGTTGTTCCTTTGATGAGAGTGGAGTCTGTGAATCAAAGTCAGGCTTCATTGCTGGCATCAGTTACCTGGGGAAGGGGATGTCCCTGGCCAGTCCTGGCATTGCCAGGGGGTGGTTAGTGGCAGAGCAGCCCCCCTCCTTGCCATGCCAACTGCTGCAGGAACCACATTTTGTGCTGATCCTGTCCCCAGGCTGATCCATGTGCAAGGTGTCACGGGTCTGGCTGGGATGTGCACAAGGGTCGCGTCCCTTAGGGCTGCCATCCTCTTAGATTTAACAAACTCAGTGACTGGTGACATGAAGGTGGGAATATCACTATGCTGAAATGGGCAAGTTCTTCCCTGGCATCATTTTGTAGGAACTTCAATGATGAAGGTAACTGTCGCTGCAGGGCTTAATAGAGCCAGTAAGTGGTTCCTCCAGGGAGTGGTTACCTTTCCTGAGAAAGGGAATCAGCCTGTTTTCCCTCCTGCCTTGCTCTGCAGAGCTAGCCAAATCTCTGGAGATAG